ACTGCATGCCTATTGTGTTTTTTTTCTCATTACATTTTTGTAGTGGGAATTTAAAAAAAATTGCGATGACGTCATCAACATTTTTGCAAGGACACGTATATCAGTTGGGATAGATGTAGTGTAATACTAAGAATTAAATTATTGTATTCCCAAATTTTCGGGAAAATGAATTGGGTCGTTTTGAATATTGATTTGTAATAATCAATAAAATAACGAAACAATTTACTCACGTATACGTATCAGAGGCAACTGAAAATCGTGTATGTATAAACATTCTTAATTTAAGATGACAGGCGTAACAGCATACGTGAGAGTCAAACAGAGAAACTGTAAACAAAACGACCATCGGTTTTATTGCTTCGACTTCCGCTTATTATATAAAACATTGGGTTTTATTTTAATTCTTGACGGTGAAATTCACAATTGGTTGATTATAAACATGTCTATTTCACATTCGCGGAACCAAGTGAGCGCATAAAACAAATGCAGGTCTGTAATGTTAAAGTCGATGTAAATAAGCGTGCTACCCTTATGTTTCAACCGAGTTTTTCCTTTAACCAATTTTGTGTCTACCAAATTGGGTTGGTTGGGGTGTAATACTAATAATAAGTGTTGCCTTTAATTTAATCAATAAAATAAATTGACTTCATTAATTTTTTTGAACCACCTCTTAAGAAAATCTAAAAAATATGAATGGAATGATAAATCACAAGTACAAACTCATCATATTTTTTGCATTTTAGATAGGATTTATTCAGCAAAATTTAAGGGTGACGTCATCATTTTTTTTAGGAGGGATGAACAAATACATTTTGAACAAAAGTTTACCATGCTTATAATAATTTTAAAATATTCCCAAGATTTCAAAGCATTCGGTTTTGTAGTTCCTGATTAAATCAATAAAATATATTCACGCCTTCATTAATTTTTTTGAGTCACCCTGCATATGCAAATCCAAAAATATGAATGGAATGATAAATCACAAGTACAGACTCATCATATTTTGTACATTTTAGATACGATTTATTCGGCAAACTTTTGAGCTGACGTCATCAGTTTTTTGTAGAAGATAACCAAATATATTTTGACTAAAAATTTATTATGCTCTTTATAACCTTAAAACATCTGCAAGATTTCAAAGCATTCGGTTTTGTCGTTCCTGATTAAACCAATAAAATAAATTTACGCATTCATTAATTTTTTTCAGTCACCCTGTATATGCAAATCGAAAAAATTTGAATGGAATGATAAATCACAAGAAGAGACTCACCATATTTTGTACATTTTAGATAGGATTTATTCAGCAAAATTTTGTGGTGACGTCATACATTTTTTAGGGGGGACGACCAAATACGTTTTGATCAAAAATTTACCATGCTTATGATAATTTTAAAATGTCTTCAAGATTTCGAAGCATTCGGTTTTGTAGTTCCTGAGTAAATCAATAAAATATATTTACGCATTCATTAATTTTTTTGAGTCACTCTGTATATGCAATTCCAAAAAATATGAATGGAGTGATAAATGACAAGTACAGGCTCATCATATTTTGTAAATTTTAGATATGATTTATTCGGCAAACTTTCGAGCTGACGTCATCAAGTTTTTGGAGGGGATAAGCAAATATATTTTGACTAAACATTTATTATGCTCTTTATGACCTTAAAACATCTGCAAGATTTCAGAGCATTCGGTTTTGTAGTTAATAATTAAATCAATAAAATATATTTACGCATTCATTAATTTTTTTGAGTCACCCTGTATATGCAAATCCAAAAAATATGAATGGAGTGATAGATCACAAATACAGACTCATCATATTTTGTACATTTTAGATATGATTTATTCCACAAACTTTTGAGCTGACGTCATCAAGTTTTTGGAGGGGATAAGCAAATATTTTTTGACTAAAGATTTATGATGCTCTTTATAGCCTTAAAACATCTGCAACATTTCAAAGCATTCTGGTTAGCAGATTAAAAATTAAATTTCAAAATGTTGTTTTATAATTTTGATTTTTTTTCCAAAAATCTGGACGTTTCGGGTGAAAAGTCGATTCAGAGTTGTAAACTACATGTGTAGGACTATGTTATTTTATACAATTGAAAACCCATTTACTATGTACAATTTTGAAGTGACGTCATCGCATTAGTGGTGGGGATGATTAGACAAATTTTGGTTAGCGTTTTACCATCTACATGATATTCTTAATATAAGTACAAAATTTCACAACAATCGGTCGAGTACTTTCGGAGATTATCTGTTTAATAAAAATCCGGGACTACAGACGGACAGACGGACAGACAGACGGAAATGGGAGACCTATTTCTTCGTCTTCTAGGGGTCATGAAAGATCGAGAAAACGTAAAAGTAGAGAGTCGGCCGACGGACTCGATTACAATACTTCCTTTGCTTACGCTCGGGAAGTAAAAATCCCAACATCCAGACATCTTTAACGCAATATAAAAGGAATGAATTACAGAATTATTTGATTGTGGAAAACTGTGAATCATCGATTCATCATCTATAAAACAAATAATCAAGAAATGAAAAGAAATGAAAAGCATATACACTGTTGTAAATAATAGTGAATGTATAATATTCCAATTTGTTAGTTACAGTCAAGAAGAGTTATTTCGCTCCAACTAACACAAACAATTTTTATTCATTTGAGATTGAGATACCTACCCATTTTACAACAAGCTATTTTTTACTGTACGTTCTAAACACGGAGGTAGAATGAAAGGAGGACGAGAGTTTGAAAACGTAACTGATACCGCTGGCTCTTCCAGCTGCTCCAGTGCCAGGTACTGGGCATAACATACAAAAATAATTTAATAAGCTAGAATACAAAAGCAGTAATAGTAAAATTTACTTGAATTTTTTTGTTTTTATTCCATAATTAAGCAAATAGTAAGACGTTTTTACTACCTATGAATCTTTATTAAAGCAAACGGCACCGTCTCTGATTCTCTGTTGTTGACCGACCACTCCTGATGTATTACGGTTGATCCGTGAAGCCGTTTTGTCGACAAATCTTTACCACAGGTAGAATAAAGCATACTCCCTCCTGTCATTCTACCTCCATGGTTCTAAAAGCCTCACAGTGCAAAAACAAACATGATTTAGATGAACTTATAGAAGCAGTGTGCTGTGTGAATAAAAACCATAACATGCGATTGTAATATGTATTGTACTTTACCTAAGACCATCTTTCTACGTAAAACTGTCATAAATTTGTCAATTGTCCACGATTGACTCAAGTAGACATATATATCAAATCCCGCATAATATCGTAATTTGTAACATAATGTTTTGAAATGCTGAACAGTGGTGATTAAAGTATGATCCATTAATGAATTCAAAAAACAAGCTCTACAAGAATCTCAAAAACTATATATAGCGTGTCAATAAAAATAAGTGGAATGTCGTAGACAACCAAGAAAAATTATAGAATGCCAAACAAATTTATAGGATGTTATTTACCTCCATGTACGGTTATTGGTGTTAAGTTATCAGTTTATCACAAATAAAAATTCCCAAGATATTTTTTTTTATTTTTTAAGAAGCGGGATTTGTTGGACTTTACTTCAGGGGAGGGGGAATTCCTGTCGAAATAACCTTCGACCAATTTTTTTTTGATAGACTCACTTTTATATCTTGGTATTTTATTTTGATAAACTAAACAATGTTTACAACCTTATTAATTTGTGGCGGCACAATAACACGTTGGTAAGCGGAGAAATATAAGCGGCCTCGTGGCCTAGTGGTCAGGATACCTACCGGCAAGCGGGGGGCATGTGGTTCGATTCCCACCGAGGCAGCAACATTTTTCTTCGTTTACCTTCAAGTTATTACTTAGTAGTATCGTTAAGTCAACAATGATCGAACAGTATTAATGGTAAAGATTCTCGTTAAGTCTACTACAATAAGCACCACTTGAAATTTACGTAAATCTCAGGTTCGTACTCAAGAAAATACTTAGGTATTTGTCAGATATTCAGTCGGCTAAGATGCCGAGACAAAATAATTTCATATTGTTGAACGTCAGTTACACACACTTAAGTATGTACAAATACAAAAAATAACAAGCTAATATTATATTATTGTGCGCGACTCGTATCGACACCTCAATTAAATTCATTGTAAAGTAGAGCCTGACGACTTCCAAGCTTACATTAAGTTAGTATTTAAATTTCTGAAGTAGCATTAAGCATACTTTAAATAACAATGTTTCAAATTTATTTTATAAGGTTGTTTAATAAGGTGCATTCAACCATTGTTTGGTCAAAAAAAGTCAAAATGTCGTGTTAATTACACAGGATTTCCGTATTTAATTATGCCCGCATACAATGTTCTTGACGCTTAAAAAAAAACTTCTACACACTAAAAGCACTTACGGATGTCTAAAAACAAAAAATAAAATTCTCAGATTTTCTTGTTAGCTAACAACTTGTAATTCTAAAATACATAATACAGAATCCGAATTGTTACACGATGACTACTATAATATATACTCTTTTGCCACTGTTTCTTAAGCTAATAAAGATATTACAGATATTATGGAAACCCGACAAGTTCAGTACTGCACCTCATCACTTTACAATAACACTTTACACTGTGTTCTATATTTACTTGAGTAACAATTTTATTATTTACTTCACTTTATTTTCTGCTTAAGTTACTGTAAAACAGTTACAGCCTTCTAGTCCACAACATCTTCAATACAAATAGCTCTTCACTAAAAAGTAATTTTTGATACTGAGGTAAAATATGTATATCTAATATAATGTCCAAATTATACACTTGTAATAATAATATTTAAATATTTTCACCATCATTTTACTTAACTTTGAGCTTCCTGAACGGACACTATAGCTACAACTGTATTTTAGAATTACAGGTACTAAAAACCTGACATTTTTCCTTTGACTTTCCCTAAAGAAACAAAATGTTGTTTTATAAAAAGCTAAATGGCGTTCTAAAAATTTCAGACTCACCCTAGACTGCGGCAAGCAGACACCTTCAGTCCCTGCGACTACACCAGCATCACACTGTAACAACAGGAGCTACATCAGCTCAGGGTCCCACTCCGTGCAATTAAATTGTTGAAGTCGTGGTGTTAAGTTGTTAGGTAACTATAAATGTTGTTAGCAAAAGAAGTGAAATAGTGTTCAAAAAAATATGCAGGGAGAGTGCCTCTGATTTTTATCTCTAATGCAGTATTGGAAACCGTAAAAGATTTTTTTCATTTCGTTTTTTTTTTATAGAAAGAATCAACCGACACTGTATTACATTTTTTCTGAAACCGCTTTTTCAAAAATTAAAAAGACGACTGTCAGTTTAGTATTTTTATCAATTTCAAGTTCACAGTACGCGCGGTGAAGTTAAACAACTAATAAACAACAAAGGATTGTAAATTTTTACGAATAGTAAATCAAAAGATAGCTATGAGAAGCAGTAGTTACAGAAGAGGTTCGACTGGTGTACTTTGCTGAACAAAGCAAAAACTACTGCTCCATGCTTAGAGCCGTATTGTCAATTAGGGAAAAGGTGAATATTGCAAATTACTTCGAACAGATCGTACTTTAACAGAAAATCCTGAAAACAGAAAAAGAAGTATGGAGACATATAAACGAGGAACGGAAAAGGAAGACTGAAGTGAGTAGGAAAATCAAAATACACGAATTGAAAAGACACTATGGAATTATTTCGAAAATATCAGAAGATGAAATAGGAAGACAGATTGAAAGACTGAAAAGAGGAAAGGCACCAGGAGGGGATGGAATCCAGAACGAAGCGTGGATGTTCGGGGCAGAAGGAGTGAAAGAAAGGATATGGGAAGCGGTAGATGGAGTTTGGAAGGGAAAAGGGTTTCCTCCCATTATTTAAAAAGGGGCAAAAAAGTGATGTGAAGAACTACCGAGGGATCATCTTGCTCAATACGGCGTACAAGATATAGGTACGCAATGATACTAGATGAGAGGTTACGAAAGGAGATGGAAGCAAGGGGTATGTTACCAGACGGTCAGGCAGGGTTTAGGAAAGGAAGAGGTACCATGGACAATGTGTACATCCAGCGGGATTTAGTGGGAAGAGAAATAAGGAAAGAGGGTGGACGAATATACGCATTGTTCATATATTTCAAGACAGCGTTTGATGGCGTGAATAGAAAGAAAATGTGTTTACACCTTATCTAGGAGATAGAGATGAAATGTTCAGAAAAGCACAGACAGGAGGGGTGGTAGGGGGCAAAGAGAAAGTGTGGTCGTTGGCGTATGCAGATGATTTGGTAATTGTGGCAAAGAAAAGAGAAGAAATGAAAACAATGATTAAAAGTTTCGAGAAGTAGGGGAAAAGTGCCTAAAATGATCCCCTCAGGTCAAATGATCCCCATCAATTGTAAGAAAATTTGTGGCTCCATCTACCAAACATAACTGTCATTTGATTAAGCGCTCTGTAATTAGTACCTTCTGAAAGTTTGATGGCGTTCTGTGTATTCTGCACAGTTTTGTGCCAAAATATGTAAAATAAGCACCTCTGATCTAAGGTAAGATATATTTTAAAAGTCCATTACTTCCATTTGAAAGGTCTTATAGCGGTGGTAGTTGTTTTGACAGAATTAGATACATTTCAGTGTTAGGTTAGTTATGATCTTTTTACCGCATGTAAAAATTGAAGGTTAGTTTACAATTTTTGAATGCGGATATGCTACCTAAGGCGAAATGATCCCTTTTTCTTGAGGCAAAATGATCCCGGATCATTGGGCGGAGCTAGTACCTGCTAAGATAAGACTGATTTTTGCAAATCATATACCCTCGAAGAAAAGAGAGGGTGGGTGGGCGGGGCTAGTACCTGCTAAGATAAGACTGATTTTTGCAGATAACATATCCTCTAACCCCGCCCACCTACTCTTTATTTTCTTTGAGGGAATACCATTTGACAATATCAGTTTTATCTTAGCAAGTACTAACCCCACCCACCCGCCCGTTATTTTCTTAGAATGTATGTTATTTGCCAATATCAGCCTTATCTTGCCAAGCACTAGCTCGGCCCATCCGCCCTTTATCTTGTTAGAGGGCTAGTACCTAATAAGATAAGACTGATTTTCGCAAATGACATATCCTCCAAGAAAAGAGAGGGTGGGTGGGCGGGGCTACTACCTGCTAAGATAAGACTGATTTTTGCAGATGACATATCCTCTAACCCCGCCCACCCACCCTTTAGTTTCTCCGAGGGAATACCATTTGCCAATACCAGTTTTATCTTAGCAGTTACTAGCCCCACCCACCTACTACCTGCTAAAATAAAACTGATTTTCGCAAATGAAATACCCTCTAAGAGAGGAGAGGGAGGGTGGGTGGAGCTAGTACCTCTTAAGACGGGGAAATTTAAATAATTTAAAAGAATTTTAGGGATTTTCGTGTTCTATTTTAGGGAAATTCTCAGTCTTAAGAGGTACTAATCCCAGTCACCCGCCGTCACTTTTCTTAAAGGGTATCTCATTTGCCAAAATCAGTTTTATATTAGCAAGTATTAGCCCCACCCACCCACCCTCTCTTTTCTTAGAAGGTATATCATTTGCCAAATTCAGTTTTATCTTAGCAGTTAGTAGACCCGCTCACCCGCCCTCTCTTTTCTTAAAGGCTATATCATTTGCCAAATTCAGTCTTATCTTAGCACTTACTAACCCCACCCACCCACCCTCTTTTTTCTTAAAGTGTATGTCATTTGCCAAATTCAGTTTTATCTTAGCAGTTACTAGTCCCACCCACCCACCCTCTCTTTGCTTAGAGGGTATATCATTTCCCAAATTCAGTCTTATCCTAGCAGTTACTAGCCCCACCCACCCACCCCCTCTTTTCTTAGAGGGTATATCATTTGCCAAATTCAGTTTTATCTTAGCAGGCAGTAGGCCCGCCCACCCGCCCTCTCTTTTCTTGGAGGGTATCCCATTTGGCAAAATTAGTCTTATCTTAGCACGTACTGATGACTAAAGTATTGTCTCAAACTCTTCCAGAAATTATACACCCCGTATTTTCGGTGCTTTTCAAACTTTTTTTGTTAATTTTTTTTTAAGAATTAATTTTTTTGTTAATTTTTGAAATAAAATATTTATCAGTTATGTCATGATTTGATTTTTCTTGTTGATGCTGTCCCCTTATGGTCAAAATTCAAAGGGATCATTATGCCCATGCCGAGGGATCATTTTACCTATGGGGATGCCTAAAATGATCCTTTTGTAAGGTCCTGGGAAAACGTTAATAACTTTTTTTATAATTATCGAATCACCAATTGGCTTATATTGTTACCTAGATAAATCAATGTTCTTACAAATAATGCTACAGTTTTACATGAATAATAATAATTTGTATTTTTTAAAGAATTTCTCCCTTAGGGGGATCATTTTAGGCACCTTTCCCCTACGTATCGAAAAAGTATACGCCAGGGTATATAGTGAGAGAAGAAACAAAAAGGGAGAAAATGGGAGTGGAAGCGGGTAAAAGGTCGGTTGGATATGAACATAAGTTTAGTGAGAGAGGTGATTGTAAAATATTGCAAGAATGTTGGAAAGAAATAAGAAAGGAAAGGGGAAAACAAACATGTTTGGAATGAAAGAGACAAGTATTATGAAGGATAGGAATATACATGTGAAGAAATAGGGAGAATGAGAGAAATAGGAAGGAGTATGAAAGAAGAACTGAGTATAAGAGATAAGGATATAGATGAGCAAGAACGCAGATCAAGAATATCGGAGTTTAGATATAATGCAGAGTACAGAAAAATTGTAAAAGATGAAATACCAAAGTACAGACACACAGAGAGAGAAGTATGAAAAGAAAAGAATGATGGCGAGATTTAGGTGTGGAAATGAAGAGAAAGAGAATAATTTTTGGATGCATGAAACTGACAGAAGGTGTAGGATATGTTGGAGAGAGGGAGAAACAATAGAGCATATGCCGAAAGGATGTGAAGAATTGAGAGAATCGGAGGAAAGTAGTGAAGAAGTGCTAAACGAGGATGGAAGAGGAGTGGACTGGATGAAAGAAGTACGGAAGATAAGGGAACTAAGGCAAGGGGTAGGCAAGCAGAAAGAATAGAACAATTATTATTATATAAAACTCGAATATTTATTGTATTTATTTTTATTGTTTTATTTGTATTATGTAGATTAAATTAATTTGTACCCCTACTGGGAATCTTATTAAGCCTGTAAGGCAAATAATACATTAATACTACTACATCTCTAATGTGACTCCTATCGAAAAAATTAAATAGCAAAGTTCTAGGTAATAAAAGGATCTACAACTTTTGTATTTAGACTTTTTTTGCATAACCTCAAAATCTATGCGAAAAATGCAAATAACCGAGTTTTTGGTTTTTTATTTTTATCTCCCACAAAAAAAAAAAATTCTCGAAATCTGGTGAAAACTTACCTATTTATGTCCCAAACTCACTGTAATTTTTAGATTCAAAATATTTATTTTTCCCCCTTATTTTGATTTAATATCGAAAACCACCCTAATTTTCAATCGAAAATTCTCACGTCAAAATGTTTGCTTTTTTAAAAAAATCCGTGTGCTTTTTGTTCGTTGAAATCTCTAGTTTCTGATGGTGTAAAAAAAGTATACATTACTATGGCAAATTTTCACAGGAAATCCAAAAAAACGAAAAAAATCGAATTCGAATTTTTTTTTAATCATGTAAAATTTTGAGATATTTATTAAAATTTACACTTCAAAAAGTAAGATTCCATGTTACATTGATAAATCAAAAAATTGAAAATCCATGAAACAAACCCCTTCTCTTGGTGGGAGATTTGTCAATATGAAAGATGATTTAATTCTTGCCAATTGATTTTAGAAATCTTAATTGATTCAGGGTTATATTGTCATTTTTACATTTATAAAAATATTTGAATAATTATGATCCATTTTTTGCGATATCTTCTTGGTTTGCATGTTTTTTATAAAAAAATATTGGCCAAATTTGACAAATTTTTATCGTCTGACTAGCAAACCCAGCAAACGTTGTTTTGCCATATAAATTTTTT